CATGTCAAGAACTGTGTCAACTTAGTCCAGAGAGGTTTCTCACTGTGAAGATAGGACACCACTTCTGACATTAAGGTAGACATGTGAGATGTAGTACCGATGGGGACAAGAAGAGGAGTCCCTGCCAGACAGGTAGAGGACACAGAAAGCCCATTCTTCCACCTGGCGAGTTGTAGGGGGAAGAAGACAGCTGAGCAGAGCAAAGAAGTCAGATGCATGTCTACTCACTTCTCCTTGCAGGGTGTGGGGCCTCAGCAGAATTATCCAGACAGGTGTGAGGGAGCCCAAAAACTTTGTGGTTGTGGGTGGTCCACTGTCTAGGCATGGTTTGGGGAAGGTGTGTGTGTGTGTGTGTGTGCTGCCACATTGAGAGTAAGGATGGAGTGGTTATGTGGCTGTGGTGCAGGGAGGTGGCTGGTCACATGAGCCTGAGGCTGAGCTCCCAATACCTGGGAGGTGCATGACGAGCATCTGGAAGTTCACGCAGGCTCAGTGAGTGGATGCAGAGTGCTGAGGTGACCAGCAGAGCAGCATAGGCTTTGGGTCTGGACACAGAGTCTACACTGCAGGAGATCTTGCTACTGGAGGCCAAAGGCCTGGACCATGGATTTGCCAAAAGACAGATGGGCTCTGAGGCATCTCAACAGTCACCGGTCTAAGGGCCTGTCCAGATCAAGTGCTCGGTGCAGAGACCAGCCAGCATGGATTTGAGGGCCCCTTCTCCTCTCTGCTACAAAGTCACCTGAGGCAGGAGGAACTGAGCTGCTGTTAATTGGTTATTAAATTTTTCCACACTTGGGAAGCACAAGGACTTATAAGAAAGATCAAAGAAGCTGCCTTTTTTTTTTTTTTTTTTCCACTTCTGAGAGGTGTGGGTTAATTATTCACCTGGTTACATTATATTTACTTACGGTGTTCATACAACCTGAAATTCCCTTCTTCCCCTCCCTCCCTGTTAAAAGTAATTAATGCTTCAAGGCCCAGGCCAAGTGCTGTCCCTTTGGTGACACTTTTCCTAATGCCTGCAGTCAGAATTAATCAAAAACTGTCTCTTTGGTGAAAATTTCTCCAATGCCTTTGGAAGGAATTAATTGAGCCTTCCTTTAGGCTCCTACAGATCACTTCTGCGATGTGTCTTGAAACAGAGTTAGCTGTCTCCCTTAATAGATTTTAAGCTCCTAGTAAAAGGAATGGTAACCCTGGTCGTGTAGTGGTTAAGTGCTATGGCTACTAACGTAAAAGGTCAGCAGTTCAAATCCACCAGGTGCTCCTTGGAAGCTCTATGGGGCAGTTCTACTCTGTCCTATAAGGTGGCTATGAGCTGGAATCAACTCGATGGCAACAGGTTTGGTTTTTTTGGCTTTAGGGAGAGAAATCGTGCCTTATTCATCTCCATAATCCCAATGGCACCCCGCTCAATGCTTGGTCTAGCGTATGCTGTCAGTACAGGTTCCAGTGAATGAGCCAATCAGTCAATTATAACCCTCCCTACTGAAGTGTTATTTTTTGTGTATTTTCATTTTTTTTTGTGTGTGTATGTTTTTTTAGCTCAGCAATACATTATTAATATGGCTTTACATAGTCAATGTTCACTTAAAATTATGCATGTATGATCATTTTTGCTATTCTTTACTAGTTATTGTGTTGCTGGCTTTCCTTCTGGGATCATGTTCCTTCTGCTTGAATCACACCTTCATTTAAAGCAAGGATGCCTGTTGGAAAATTCTGTCAGTTTTAATTTGTCTGAAAATGTCTCTACTTTTTGAAGAGTTGGTAGAGCAGAAATGACATATGTCTTTATATATTTTAAAAATCAATAAATGACTAACGTATGCTTTCCAGGACCATATGGAAAAATTGCGGAAAGGCTAGAACCAAGAAGAGCCCTTGGCTAAACACATATTTCCCTTACACTGTCTTGAATTTGTCACCTTGCTGGCTACACTGCCTGAAATCCCACCAAGATCTTGTTTTTGGCTCACCAGACCCTTCTCTTAAAGAAGTGTTAAGGGATCCAGTCATGAACATCTAATTAGTTTAACTAGAGTATTTCCCTCCTAACACCTGATAGGACTCAGCCCCACTCAGAACATAGAAGTATTCATGGAAGGATGTAGAGAAAGACCAGGAATTTGGAAGCATTTCTCCCAAAACCAGCTTGGGAAGGGCCCCAAAACGGCAAGGTCAGGAGAGCCTGAGCTTTGAGCAGTTGTTAGCTGCTGTTGAGTGGGTCACCAACGGAATGAAATATATAATGCTCGGCCCTGGAACAACACACAAGTTTCTACTGACAGAAGGGTGTTGGCTGCACATGAGGTGCATTGGCTGGGAATCAAACTCAGGTCTTTGGCATAAAAGGCAAGCATCCTACCACTGAACCATCATTGCCCTCACTTTGGGCAGTGGGATGGGTCAAAGACAAAGCTCAACTCCTTTCCAGCTGAGGCCAAGGAGGCCAGGGCTCCTGGTCTCTGTTCAAGTTTGAAGCGTGACTCCCTGGAGCTTCCTCCTCATGCAGATTGTTTACCTCCAACAGCCCAGGTGACCTGAGAACTTGACCTTCCCCCCGACGTGGAACACTGACACCACCCTTGCAGGTTTTTTAAATCAAATTTCTTCTTAGAAGGGTGTCTGGAGCTGTGGAGAACAAGCCAGGCCCTGAGAACAGAAAGACACGGTAACAGACACCAAGAAAGCTAATATATTTTATCTGGAAAATGTCCTTAGCCCAAACCAGCTCCTGCTCAAACACTGTGCACGTTATCAGAAAACCAGGCCACTGGGAAGTGGATCCAAAGAGAGTGATTGTTATATTGTTTCCTCCCTTTTGCTTTTGGAACTACTGTATGTAGTGTGTCACTTGGCACTTCGGAGAAAGGGAGCTGTGGGAACCGGGAGGCAGGATACAGAACAGCATACCTTCCATGCAAGGCAGCCCTGCCCAGGGGTTAACAGCTGGGACTCTTTCGCCATTTTAATATTTCAGACTAATGAAAGGTCCAGAGGGTGAGGAAGTTAACTAGCCCCTCATCCCTGATGGTAATGTCGGGAGCCCTTAGTGCTGTGCAGGGGGCTGGGGTCTGGGATAGGGGCCCAGTCAGCCTTCCTGCAGGCCCTCCGTCATGTGGCAAGCCCCATAGGAGAGACTGTCATCCCTGAGGAGAAGGCCCCCTCCTCACTTGGAACATTCTACTTCCGGCACCTTTAAAAGGCTCCTGAAACCTGGACTGAGAAGAGAATACAGCTGTTAGAGCAGAGATTTCTCGTGGGCCTCTAACCTAAACCATCAGCTGGGGAACACAGGAAAATAAAAAGATCAGCTTATACCCTGATTTATCTGTGATAATAAATAAATAAAACATTGTACTTATTTGCTTTCATGTTCAGGAACACAGAAAATATTCACTAAATCCCACCAGCAATAAATAAAATACTTCCATTCTGTTGGGCTCAGCCAAAAAACAAATCTTCAATGGTGGAATTTCAAGTATTAGCAAGCCTCTGGGGGAGGTTGAGGAGAAGTTGGATGCCCTGGGCCACATCCAAGGCATCTTCCGCTTGGGTTGGGATTGAGGATTGAGCCTTCTAATTCCTCCTTCATGTCAGGATCTCTGATCCTCCTGCCTGCCTCGTGCCAAAGTCTGAATCCCTTCCAGTTTTTTCGCATTCCCCAAGGCCTAGACACCCCCTGCCACCCTAAGGTCTACCTGCTCAGACCAGTGTGGGTCAGAATGTCCTGGCCCTGCACTCCCTGGTTGGGGCTCAGAAGACCCAGGTCCTGCTGGGTTGGCTTCCTAACAATGTTTCTCCCCAGAAGGCCCAGCCCACTGGCCACCTGACTCTTTCCAGAAACATTTTTGGCTGTGAGTGAATAATAGCATTTGTTAAAATGCTTGACAGACACAGGTTTTTGGTTCTTCCCATTCTAAGCTATATATATACATATATATGAATTTAAAAAACATTTTACTGAAGCATAACATATATACATAAAAGTGCACAAATTATAAGGGTAGAGCTCAGTAAATTCTCACAAAGTGAACACACCAGTGTAACCATAATCCAGCTGAAAAAACTGAACAGGAACCCACAAGTAAACACAGTCTTAGAAATCTTGCAGTGAGTTAGATGAAATCGAGAGCCGAGTTTCTGTATTATATATCAACTATGCTTTTCACCTGACCTGTCATGAAGAGGTTTCAAAATCTCTTAGAGGATTGTGTTAACTGTGATCGAAATTTGTACAAAGAAGATCTTGTCCCGCAGCTAGCTGTAGGTTCCTGGAGGGCAGGGCCCTCAGCTACGCGCTAGGTACTCTGTAGTATAGTTTGAATGACTGAATGAACCCAGACCTGGACATGCAAGTGTCCCAGCCCCAGGCCAGATGCTCCAAAGCCTCATTCTGTCCTTTTAAATGCCACATTAACACAAATGACCAGGGTCTCCACTCAAACACTACTACCATTGCCATCAAGGTGATTCCAACTCATGGCAACCCCATATGTGTCAGAGTAGAACTGTGCCTGATAGCATTTTCAATGGCTGATTTTTGGAATCAGACCGTCAGGTCTTTCTTATGAGACATCTCTGCGTGGACTGAATCCCAACTTTTCAGGCAGCAGCCGAGTACGTTAACCGTTTGTACCACCCATGGATGCTCAAGCACTAGAGCAACATTATTTCCTCTACCCTACAGCCATGAGACAGCCCTGGGCTGTAGAAAGTAGTAATCCAGCTCATGTATTCATCCAACAAGCATGCACTAAACATCCACGTTGGCCCAGGAATGACAAATAAGGCAGACATAATCCTTGCCCCTCGTGGAGAAAGCTCGGGCACCCAAAATGTCGGGAACTGGCAAGAAAATCCTCAAAGAATTCAGAACCACTGCTTCATCCCTGATCCAGCCCTGGCTCCTCCCTAGAAGGGAATTGAGGCCATCTACCAACCTGGTGGTTGATAAGAATGTGCCTTAACCAGCTGTCTTTGCTCTTTTGCAGGCCCTGCCATCCCGGTTGGTGTGGACGTGCAGGTGGAGAGCCTGGACAGCATCTCTGAGGTGGACATGGTACACAACGCCCTGAGCAGGGCAGCTTCCAGGGAGCAGTCATGGTTGAGATCCTGTGGGAGCTTGGTCTGTGGGTGGGGCCTTGTTAGTGCAGTTTGTGCCTGTGTGGGTGGCAGCAGGAGCTGGAGGTGATACAAATGGGGCTTGGAAGTTGGCCCAGGTGAAGTAAAATCTAGTAAAATCTAGAGCTGGGGCTGTCAAACTTCATGGGAAAAAATAACTTGGGGAGTTGGTTACATGCAGATTTCTGGGCCGCAACCCAGCCTCTTGACTCAGAATTTCTGGGAATGAGGACCAGAACTCTGCATTTTGAACACCCTCCTCAAGTGATGCAAGTGGTCAGATGAGCCACACCTGGAGGAGCAGTAGAAGTAAACATTTTCAGACTGAAAGTCTGCAGTTCTTTGATTTTCACTGCCCACCATGAGCAGAGCTCCCCAGCACGCTCCTTGGTGGTGCCCACCATGTGACAGTGGCACGGCGCCCACTTCTGCCCTACCACCAAATGTATATCCCCTCCTGGCTGTCCTGCAGGGGCTCACCCATGGAGGGGAGCCCAGCGCCCACCTACCTTCCAGCCCCATCTCTACCACTTGTCCCCTTTGGTTAGCCTCTCCTTCAGTTTGCAGACTTCATGATTCTTCTGTCTCAGGGACCCTCATACGTGCTCTTGCCTGGGCCATCCCCAGAGCTGTCTCTTTCTCATCTTCAGGTCTCAGCTGAAATGAGACTTCTTTAAAGAGGTTTCCCTGACCACCTGACCTACAGGCTTCCTGGTTTTTTTTTTTTCCCCATAGCCTACATTATCATTTATAACTCTGCTATATTTACAATTCTCCTACACTTGACTGTAAGCTTCATGAGTGCAGGAACACGTCTTTTATTTTTTACCTCTATATCTCTAAGACCTAGCCCAGAGTGGGCCCCCCTCAAAACATGTCTGGAATGAAAGTAAGGAGGGTCCTTGTTACCCCTGCAATGCCATCGTGTGCTCTTGAAGGAGGGGGTACTCCCTGGCGCCCAATGGACCTGGCACAGAGGAGCTGATAGGATGCTGATGCTGTGTGCCTTTGAGGCAGCCATAGTTCTGGCACCCGGTACAGTGTCTTATGCTGGGTTCTCCAGAGAACTGTATATGTGGTCAGATGCTGACGAGCTGAATGTAAGATCCAGGCAGAGAAAATGCCCTCGAGTTTGCCAGAAAGTCCACCTATGTTGGATGCAGGCCACACCCCCAAGGAAACTTGCTTTCAACTGATTGGCTACTCATAGTAAATCCCATCATGGAGGTGATTATATCATTATACGACTGCCAAACTACATCATAACTGCCAAACCACTGAGGATCATGGCCCAGCCAAGTTGACACACAACCTTAACAATCACGTACAGTATGGGGTCCCTGTGTGAAAGGTGCAGGTGTGACAGTCTCCAAGTGCTACAGCACACACTGCCAGCCCTTTGGGAGTACCCAATTGCTGGACCTAGCTCCAGAACCAGCTGGGTCTGGGGCCAGCCTGGCTGCCCTAGCTTTGAGCCAACCTAGATGTCTGCTCTGGATGTGAAGACCTGCTTACCCCATGAGGCTCAGGATCCCAGAGGGAGGGGCACAGAATGTCTTGCTTTCCCCAGACCAACTACCAACCAGTGGGAAGTCAGGCAGATGCCAGCAAAAAAAAGGTGGTAGGTAGGTGACATCCAAGCTGGCCATGCACAGCTTGTGTTTGTGACTCTGCAGTGTAGCACTTGCCTGAGCGATGTTCATCAGAGCATGCACTCCAACTGTGTGACCTGGAAGGGAAAGAGCTAGAAGGGACATTTGGCCAGGCTTCTCCTTATCCACATATTGGCCATTCTCATTGTGTGTGGGAGGGGAGTTCATGGCAAGGGCTGATGAGCTGGAGGCCAGGATCAGTCTGGAGACAGACTGCCATGTGGCGCTATCTCAGTGCCTGTCCTCTCCTCCATTTCTGGGGCTCCCTCTGGGCCCACTGCCACCATGTACTCCTTCTATCCTTCCCTCACCTGCTTCCACAAGAGGATCTTTTCAGTGGTTATTTACCCGTTTGCACTTCGTGTCCTAGCTCTGGTCATGACATGAGGGCCAAACTCTTGGTTAAAGGCATCAACCACGCAGGTGGGGAGATACTTTTTAACAAGATAAGCTTTCAGGCTGAGATCACAGGAAGTATGCAGCTGCCTGTCCACTCATCCAATCATCCCTTCATTTTTCCATCCTGCAAATATTTACTGAGCACATACTATGTGCCTTGGTAGGCACTAAATCAGGGGCTAGGGATTCAATGATGGGAAAGACACAATCCTGTCTTCAGAGATGTTAGAAGTCTAATGGCAGAAACCCTCCTAAGAGGAATACTTGACCATCCAGGCTTCTGGAAGTGGCCACTAAACTGAAATCAAGTGTTTTGCCAGGTAGGTAAGGAACCAAGTGTGCAAGTGCTATGTGAGAAAGAGTAGGGTTTTGGGGCAAAATCCTACCCTGCTGGCCACCAGGCAAAGCTGTTGGCATCATAGCTGTAGTTATCATTAGCAAAGCCTACAGGGAGGGTTGCTCAGTCTCCTGGGCTCCAACCTCCTGACACACAAAAATAAACCATTCTCTTTCTGGCTGCAGCAGCACTATTGCCACAGGGTGCAGGACTGTCACCTCTGGAGAATGGGTCTGCGGTGTCCATCACAGGGGTAGATTGTAAAGAAGGAATACTTCTCAGCTGTTTCTCTCTGATCTTGCCATGGCTCCCACAGGACTTCACCATGACCCTGTACCTGCGGCATTATTGGAAGGACGAAAGGCTGGCCTTCCAGAGCACTAGCAACAAGAGCATGACCTTCGATGGACGGCTGGTGAAGAAGATCTGGGTCCCTGATGTCTTCTTTGTTCACTCCAAAAGGTCATTCATCCATGATACTACTACTGACAACATCATGCTGAGGGTTTTTCCAGATGGCCATGTGCTGTACAGCATGAGGTAACAGTCCATGGGATCATTGTTTCTTTGCCCAATGCCATTTCAATATGCATGGGCAGTTCCTTTGGCCCTGAGGAGTTTGTCCTTGTGGTTGGGTCTGTGGCCTGCGTGGGGTGGTATGAGCCTCCTGATGCCAGCGTCAGTAGGTGGTGACTTCTCTGTCATTGAGGGACTTAAGCTTGGTTTAGAAGACTACTTGGCCCTAAATAAGTTGATGGAGACAATGACCTTCTATGTACTGATGAGCACCTATTATGTGTCTTGCCAGGTGATAAAGACTAAAAAAAGTAATAACAATAGCTATTGTTTAATGAATGATGGTGCAGATTGACTTCTGAGCTGACATGATTTACACAGTTTTCTCTACATCTTCCTGGCCTGCTTGCAGTTTTCATCAAAATTAAACACTAATAACAGGCATTGGCCTTGGGTGGAGGGCATGAGTGGAGGAGGTGAATCCTCCCAGGTATCTCTGGGGGAGGTGGCTCCTACTGGCTCATGGGACCCCAGGAGAATAGTGCAGGTAGGGGCCATTAGCAGTCAACACCTAGAGTTGCTGGGCGAGGGGTGCACCAGCCTGGTAAACAGAATTCGGACAAACCACCAATAGCATCTTCTACAGAAGACAAAACTCTAAAAATTAACGTTCTATATCTTAGATACCTGCTTCCAAACTTCGGAAGTAGATGTGAGGCGGTGGCTGCTCTTGGTTGTTGGTAATGTTCTGCTGACTGTGGACAGGTGTATGAGCCAATAGCTTTCTACACAAGCCAACACACATGTTTGGGTTATCTAGGATTACAGTCACTGCCATGTGCAACATGGACTTCAGCCACTTTCCCCTAGACTCGCAGACCTGTTCGTTGGAGCTGGAAAGCTGTAAGTATCAGTGTTTCTAATGACACACCTCCCCTTACTCCCTCTCTGACCTTTGTGGTATTTTAATTATCATGAGACTAAGTGCTGACTGCCAGCATAAAGAACTGTTTACTCCCAGATTGACATAAGATTTCTTTGCTGCTTTGTCCTGGATCAGAGGTAAAGGAGTCAAGTTAACTTATTTTCCTCCCCCCTCCCTTCAAAGATGCATACACAGATGAAGATCTGATGCTGTATTGGAAGAATGGGGATGAATCGCTGAAAACAGATGAGAAGATCTCCCTGTCTCAGTTTCTGATCCAGAAGTTTCACACCACTTCCAGACTCGCCTTCTACAGTAGCACTGGTAGCTAATGTTAGCCATGGTGTGGTTCAAATGTGGAAGAAAACATACTAGAATTCCTCTTTAGCCTTAACCTTTTACCCTCCCAGTGGAAATAAATTTTGATTATTAAAATAGTGCAAGCTCCTTCAAAATATAAACGTTTAAAAGCAGAAAGTAAAGTTTCTATTCTCTGAAATCCCATCATCCAGAGATAATCATTCCTAACAATTTAGTAAATATCCTTACAGATATCTTGCTTTAATTACGTAATTTTGCAAAAGTGGGGTCCTGCTTTACATGCTGCTCTATAACCTGATTTGTTCTACTGAACAATATGAAATGGATGGCTTTCCAAGGTAATAACTATAGATCTATAGAGTCACTGTTATTGCTTAGTGTGACCTTTAGTGAGACTCTGGGCCAAGTTTGAAGCTTTGAGAGAATCCATTTGCCAGTTCCTTTCTAATCTCACCATTAGTTCTGCAGTGGCTACGGAGCCCTACAGGACTTCCTGCTTCATTATCCTTTGCCCCAGTACTGAGAAGCCCAGGTCCTTCCATGAAAGTTTCCGCGATACTGCCCGCCCCTACGTGGCCATCATTTTCCAGTTCACCTGCCTCCCTGACAACATCAAATACCATGGAAGAGAGTGAGCCCCAACCACTACTATGTTGGTGTTGGGCCAGCCCCCGGTCTGCTTCTGTTTATGCTCACAGTGCTTATCCTCATCTCTCTCACTCTGATGTGAGTTGCCACTCAATTTCCTTTCCTTATCTATTCATTTTCCAGTTGCCATTCAGTCAACTCTGACTCATGGCAACCCCATGTGTATCAGAGTAGAACTGTGCACCATAGGGTTTTCAGTGGCTGATTTTTCAGAAGTAGATCACCAGGCCTTTCTTCTGAGATGCCTCTGGGTGGACTTGAACCTCCGCTCTTTCGGTCAGCAGCTGAGTGTGTTAACCATTTGCACCACCCAGGGACTCCACTCAATGACTCCCTTCTACTCTTAGCAAGTTCAAATCAAGTATCTTTCTAAAGTCATTATTAAAAGTTTCTTCTATGAATTTTACTATGTGCCAGGCACTGTTCTAATGACTTTATGTGGATCAACTAATTTATACCCAACAAGCCTAGGATGTAGATATTTCTATTCCCAGTTCACAGATGCAATAACTGAGACTCAGAGATATTAAGTTATTTATAGGAAGTCATGTAGCTGGTAAGCGGCCAGGGAGTCTGCCTTAACCACTGTGTATACTCCCTCTTAGATATTTTCTATATTGGGATAGTGTGTGTGTTTGGTTGGTTGGTTGCTTCATTCCCCATGCAAGCCTTTCTAGAGTCTGGATTAAAATGCATCTTCTACTTCCATTATTTATTGTCACCCCACATGCAGCCAGGAGCTGTTATCTCACTGCTCTCTATTTGCAACAGGGAGTGTATATTTTCAAAGTCCTTGGTTCCCTTCCAGTGTTTCCAAGACAACTCTTACCTAGTTTTCTTAGACAGAAGGAAAGGATAATAGAATAGCACTTAAAGGAATAAAGGCGGCTCTCAGACCTTCCAGAAAGACCTTATGCAAACCCAAGGAACAATGTAATTTATTTCACCAATGCCAGTTTAACTAGGGAAAATAAAAGGTGTAATCTAGGAGAGTTGACCTGACTAGACAAGGCTGTAGAATGAATAAATAATTAGTAGTCTCCACCTTCTTTGAAAATCACCTTTTATTATCCACTGTACGTAAAACACCTGCCTCATTCAAACAACCCAGGAGCCGACACAGTAGCTACGTGTCAAGCTTGTCTGGGTTCACCCTGTGGTTCCAGCTTTTCCCTATTGATCCAGCGCTTCCCTTTCGTGACTCAGTACTAACCTTTCACTCCAGCTGGATGGCCTTTCTTTCCTCAACAATGTTTCTTCAGGTGCAGCCTGAGATCTACCGGCATCTGAGTCACCATGAGAGTGTGTTCAACCAGAGATTTCTGGGCTCATCGCTGGTCTACTGAATCAGAATCGCTGGTGGTGGAGCCCAGGAATCTGCATGTTCATTAAGCTCCTAGGTGTTTGTTCACATCAAAGTTCAAAGACCATTGCTCTCAGCTAGTGGTTCTCAAAGTGTGGTGTTCAGCATCAGTATCACTTGGGGACTCTGGGGACAGAGCCCATCAAGCTGTGTTTTAACAAGTCCTCTAGGTGTGATACACACAGATTTCTGGGACCCACCCCCAGAGTTTCTGATCCAGTAGGTCTGGTGTGGGCACTGAAAATGTGCATTTCTAACAAGTTCCTAAGTGATGCTCTCGCTGCTGGTCCAGGGACCCCACTTTGAAAGCTATAGGTCTAAGTCAACGTTTTAAACTCTGGCAGAACTTTGGAATTACCTGGAAACTTTAAGAACACACCAGTGCCTAGGTCTCCATCCCAGACCAATTAAATCAGACTCGCTCAGGGATAGGACCAGGGCTTTGGAGAGTTGTCAAAGCTCCCAGGTGTTCCTGGTGGGCAGCTAGGTTGAGAGTAATACTCCTCAGCCCATAGTGAAACAGAGAATGTCTATATCCTCATTTGTTTCCTGAGGAATGATCAAATGGTAAGTGACTTCCATCAGGCGGATGGAAGGTCAGAAGTAGAACTCATCTTGAGTTTAAAAAGCACGAGAACAGCCTATTTCTTCTTGGATGAACGTGGAAATTGAGTGAGCTGACCAATCTCATAATAAAGGGGACAGTGACAAAAGCCCAGTTCCCCTGGCTCCTGCCTCAGTTGTAATGCCTTCAACAAAATAGAACCCCTCCAACTTCTTAAGTTCCTGAGTCACTTGGAGAATATGGTTGTCGTTTGCAAATAACAAATACCAAGCAAACAATTAAACTGATACCTCTTCCTAGTTCTACCCTCACCAGGAATGCTGTGAAAAAAGTCAGATAAGGCCAAATGAGATCATAAATATACTAGATACTGCAAGATATTTATTTATAAGAGAGAAGGCTTAGATTTTAGAAAGGAAAGGTATTATATTAAGCCAATTGATTATTAATTTTAACTTTTTCTTGACGATAATAGCAATGTAATGAATAGAAGGGGCCCCAGTGAAGTGGTTGTGTTTCTGCTTCTCAAACTGTACCTCACTGGCTTCTTCCTGTATCCCCAGGCTGGTACAACCGTCTGTACATTAACTTCACACTGCGTCGCCACATCTTCTTCTTCTTGCTGCAAACCTATTTCCCTGCTACCCTGATGGTCATGCTGTCCTGGGTATCCTTCTGGATTGACCGCAGAGCTGTGCCTGCCAGAGTTTCACTGGGTAAAAGTATTTGATAAGGTGTAAGAGGATGGTTACTTTTTCAACTGGTCACCATGTAAAAAAAAAGTACAATTGCTATTCATCTCCCAAAGTGAATTCTCAACCAAGGGACTGTCAGAGTCAGAGGGAGCAAACCTTCCTCCTACTTCTTGCCTTCGCCACTCAGACTCTGGCCTCTGTTTCCCCCACTATGGAAACCAACAAAACCAAACCAGACCTGTTGCTGTTGAGTAGATTCCGACTCATAGTGACCCTATAGGACAGAGTAGAACTGCCTCACAGGGTTTCCAAGGAGCACCTGGTGGATTCAGACTGCTGACCTTTTCGTTAGCAGCCTTAACTCTTAACCATGACACCACCAGGGTTTCCAGCAACCTTTCAGGGAACTAAAACTGTATCAACTTTGCTTGAGTCACTTAAGAAAGATATAGCCCATATGAGGCATAGACTTCCACCACTGGCAGTAACGGAGCTCAGTACTTAGATAAATACAATAGTTCTGAAAATTCCAAACAGGTATTCTATAAATATAAACTTTGTTTGCTGATTTTGTTTAAACAGAGATTTGGGAGCAGGGCCCATAACGTGTGATGTCTGAGAAGGGGAGGGCTGTATTCCCTGGAGCAGTGGTTTGAGACCTTCATGGACCTTGAATTCCAGAGTAAAAGTTTACACTCTGTATAATTGTAAATTTGGGCAAAATCAGGTTGGGCTCTTAGAAATGTGAGGGTTCAGCTACCTAAGACTTTAGTCTTAAGACTCACTGGAAATGCTATACTATCTACACTGTACTGCACTGTACTATACTAATCAGCAAGCCAGAGAGAAGAAGAAACTAGCATGATAGCCTTCCAGTAATTCCCAGTCTTTATGGGAAGTGTCCCTCCTAGATGAGGGAGAATGAGCTCATTCTTGAGGTTTAGGAAGATTCCTTTAGAGATATCCTTTAGTCACTGTTTTTAATTCCACATTTTGGGTTCTCTAGAGGAACAAAATCAGTCATACATATAGATATAGATAGATTTATTTCCAGGAAATGGCTCACACAATTGTGGGGCTTGGTAAGTCCCAAATCTATAGATCAGGTAGGAGGCTGGAGGCCTCTCCTGGCTCATAGGATTGTTGGGGGCTGGAAAATCCAAAATATGCAGGTCAGGCAGCAGACTTCTGCAGACTTACATTCCAAGATCCATAGATCAGGTGATGAGAAGAGTGAAGAATGCATGGTCCAAGGAGAGAGCGAGCTCTGCCAGAATATCCATTTATATCCTGGAGGCAGGCCACATCCCCAAGGAATTCCTCTTTCAACTGATTGGTTGCTCATATCAGATCTAATCATGGAAAGTGGTTATATTACATTATGGAACAGTAACCAGTCCAGTGTCTGCCAAACCACTGAGAACCATAGCCTAGCCAAAGTGACACATAAAATTAACCATCACATCTGAGCAGATTTTTGTCTGAAGCATTCTTTGTCAGCCACATCACAGGAATCCAATCTCCCAAGGTGCTTAAAATGAAAAGAAACAAGTAGCATGTTGACCAGGAGGAAAACAGGCCCATCTTTCTGAAAAAAGAATGGCCTGGTTGTTTGTGGAGCAGACCCTTGCACTCTATAAGTAGAAAAATATCTGGGAAATTTCTCATTAGATTTAAGAGATGGAGAATGTAGAATTGTGACAGTGAGAAGGGGGCAGTTCTGTACCATTGTCTGTGACTGAACTCAGACTGGGGCCTTGCAGGTATCACCACGGTGCTGACCATGTCCACCATTATCACGGGCGTGAACGCCTCCATGCCCCGCGTCTCCTACATCAAGGCCGTGGACATCTACCTCTGGGTCAGCTTCGTGTTCGTGTTCCTCTCGGTGCTGGAGTACGCGGCCGTCAACTACCTGACCACTGTGCAGGAGCGGAAGGAGCGGAAGCTGCGGGATAAGGTGAGAGATGGTTCAGTCATTTCCTTGTCGAAGCCAGTGCTACTGGTAAGATGAGGAAGGAGAGGGGGAATGCATGCAGAAAAGGGAGGTGTTTATGCAAAAGGCGGGGGACCCTGCTTTAGAACAGGTTCTAGCTTCTGCTACAAGAATCCCAGAAATCAGAGTCTTTGGACAAAGACTAGGAGCAGAAAGACTTGGGTTCTTAGGCCCAACTCTGCCACCTATGATGAGCCTTGCTTTCCTCATGTATAATAAAGGGGATAACAGAATACTCGCACTGCCTTCCTTCCAGGGTTACTGTTAAGGGTCAACTAAGGAATATATGTAAAATTTGTTTTGAAAACCATAAGAGTCTAGACATATGTAAAATATCACTATTATTATTGAACAGGTCTAGGAAAGATGTTTTTATGACCAGAATTCTCAGATGAAAAGTTCCTTTGTTTATCAGTGCTGTGGCCCAGTGAAAATTCAGCCACCTAAGACTTCAACCTTTAGAGTCATTGGAAATAGTCTACTATCTATACCATACTGCACTATACTATAGTACACTATACTATGAGATAGAGTGCAAATGGGGGATTCTACAGGGCAATATGCACAGTCCTTTGGCGCAGAGAGGGAAATTCTATTCATATTCAGACTCTTAGTAAATCGCAGTAAGACAATACTGACTTGTTAGCAAATAACTTGTTGATAATCATTACGCTAATCAAAATGAGTGTTCACCTAAAGGGTACAGAGATCAGGGGACATGAAAATCCCACATTTATGCATATCTAGATTGCTGGTAGCCCCTTAGCATAAGGGAGTTTTGAATTTCAGGAAAAGTAGATATGCTGCCTTTTCAAAAACAGGTTTTCAATGGCCACATTAGGCCTGTCAGGTATTTCCATGTTGTCTCCAAATACGCTAATAGATGGTTTAGTAATGTATTTTTTAAACTCTATTAAAACCTTTTTAACTTCAGCATTTGGGTACTTATTTATATTTTCAATAGTCTGTACATTGATCATTATCAAATATCTTTGGATTATAAACATTTTTGATTTATAATCCATTAGACCTTCCGTATAGAACTATTGAAAAAACATCCAGAAATACGGGTTCATAAACCATTAACTGCTCAGAACTTGTATTCAGGCAGTTCATTAACCTGTCACCACATGATGGGTACTCGTCTTTGCCAAATGATACAGTCTAAAGAATAACAAGGAAATCATACGTGAAAAAGTCATTGGGCCCCTAAGTCTATCTCCGTGTCAGTGTGAGAACAGATATACACGGGAGGTGACAGTTTATGCTCCACTGTTGTCAAATGTGTGATTTAAAGGCTGAGAAGCTGCAGTTGCTGGAGAGCAGGCAGTGGTAGGAAGACAAAAAAATTTCCCTCCTGCTGCCCCTCAGAGAAGCCACTATTTGTGATCATTAAAATGGCCTCCAGTGAATGTGTGGCTAATTGCCTCCATGAACAACTGCCTCCTTTGCCATGAGACGAGAAGAACTGTATGGTACCTGGTTAACATTACCGAACATTTTGATCGAAGATTCCATGGAAGAATCCTGATCAAAAGGGGGGAAATCCAGAACAGAATTTCAAATTCACATGGACTCCAGACTTCCTGGAGCCTTGAAGGTTGGAAGAACCCCTGAAACTATTGCCCTGAGATAATCTTCAAACCTTAAACCAAAAATATCCCCTGAAGTCTTATTAAAGCCAAAGAATAGTTTAGCTTAACTAGTAAAAAATGTCAGCTTTGAGCATTATCCCCTTTGAAGAATTATCTATATGGAATCAAATTGACAACAGCAACTCAAAAGATTAGATAGGAACCTTAGGGGGCAGTGAATTTATATTAACAGGAGAGAAACAACTCAGAAAAGGAAGGTGAGAATGGTTGCACAACTCAAAGAATATAATCAATGTCACTAAACAGTACATGTAGGAACTGTTGAATTGGTGTATGTTTTGCTGTGTATATTCTCAACAACAACAACAAAATAAATAAAATTATATAAAAAAGAAATAGCCTCCAGTGGAGGGTCATTTCCCAAAGTGAGAGCCCAGGACCACCTGCTCTGGAATCAGCTCCTGAACCTGTTAAAATAAAGATTCCAGGGCTCACACCTCAGACCTACTGTTCAGAATGTCTGGGGATGGCATCCAGGAATCGGCATTTTTAACAAGCTGCCTGGTGATTCTGATCCTCACAGAAGTTCAACTTCTACTACATAAACGCAAAGCTAGAACCTGGTAGGCTCACCCGTGATTCAAGTGGCAGTGGACAAGTGCTGCTTTGGATTGCAGGAGACCAGCAAAGTTCGGGAAGCACAGGGCCCCTTCCCTCTGTGTGCTCTAATACTTTGGCTGATTATCCAGGCCTCATCCAACATGTCAGGAGCCACTAAATCTTTCTTAGAAACACATTGATGTGGAAAACAGGGGTTTATCAGTACTTTCTGGCATTTCCTGATTCTAACTAAAAATCTTAGAGGTAAGTCTGTATTCATTTTAGCAGAAAGGATTTCAGTTTAGAACAAGAAAAAGGAGCAAAGACCTGTGCTTCAAAAAAGAAAAAAGAAAAAAAAAGCCCCTGATGACAATATCTCAATTTTATCAGCGTTTGGATGTGATTATTCCTAAATGCAAGGAGTTGGGTAGATGGCCTCTTACTGACCTTTTCTGCCAGATATCTATGAGTCTGTGTTAACTATTCTAGGAATGTATTAACGTGTTAGTTGCTGCTACTGATGATGATATGTAAACATAGTAATGAAACAGTTTATGCCTGATTTAAAAAAAAAAAAAAGCCCCCAAACCCCAAAAGACTTCTTTTTCTGCAAGAGTAGTCAGGTAATTCTGATTTTGCATAAAATCACTAATCTAATTTTGCATTCTAAAGCTTCATGGAATTGATTTGAATATTTCAAGATCTGTAACAATAGGAGCAAGTTGTGAAACGTCATTATTTCACTTTCCAGGACGGAAAAACAGAGGCACTGAGGGGCTGAGAGCCAGGTTAGAAAAGTATTAAAGTCAACCGGCTGAGAAGAACAAACCCAAGGCCAGAGGCCCGTGTCCAGCAGGCCTCACGCCTTTAGCCAAAGAGCAGTCCAGGAGCCAGCAGGAAGCCCATTCTCTGCTGACTCAAATTGTGGGCAGAAGCCAAGGGAAACCATCTGCTCCCCTCAATTTCTAACTTGTTATAAACATTTTCATACTTGCAGAAACAGTTGAAAGAATAGAATAATAAACATCCATAGACCCCACCACGTGGATCCAACATTGTTAACATTTTGCCATTTTTGTGTGAGCTTTCTCTCCCTATAAACATATTTTTGTTGTTGCATGTGAAACCATTTAAAAATACATTGTGGGCATCATGTTCCCTCACCCTTAAACGTAACTCTTCCAGAAGTGTCAAAGCAGGACTTTAAATCCACATATTCTCATTCCAGTTGGGGGACTCCACCTCTTTGTGCATTAATGAAAAAAGAAAAAAATGGCTCAGTATTAGGATTAGGTAGGAGAATATGTTGTTGTTTTTGTTACGTGCTGTTGAGTCAGTTCTGACTCATAGAGACCCTATGTACAACAGAATGAAACACTGCCTGGTCTTGTACCATCCTCACAATCGCTGCTATGCTTCAGCCCATTGTTGTAGCCACTGTGTTAATCCATCTTGTTGAGGGTCTTCCTCTCTTTCACTGACCCTCTATTTCACCAAGCATGATGTCCTTCTCCAGGGACTGGTCCCTCCTGATAATATGTCCAAAGTACTTGAGATGAAGTCTCACCATCCTCGCTTCTAAGGAGTATTCTGGCTGTACTTCTTCCAAGACAGATTTGTTCGTTCTTCTGGCAATCCATGGTGTATTCAATATACTTCGCCAACACCATAATTCAAAGGCATCAATTCTTCTTTGGTCTTCCTTATTCATTGTTCTGCTTTCGCATACATATGAGGTGATTGAGAATACCATGGTTTGGGTCAGGTGCACCTTAGTCCTCAAAGTGACATCTTTACTTTTTAACACTCTAAAGAGGTCTTTTGCAGCAGATTTGCCCAGTGCACTATGTCGTTTGATTTCTGACTGCCGCTTCCATGGGCGTTGATTGTGGACCCAAGTAAAATGAAATCCTTGATAATGTCAATATTTTCTCCATTTATCATGATGTTGCTTATTGGACCACCATTTTCTTTTCATTCATGCACAAAGAGGTGAAGTCCCACATTTCAAATTAGAATACGCGGGTTTAAAGTCCCGGTTCTGACACCTCCTAGCTGTGTGATCTCAGGTGAATTGTATAGCCTCTCTGAATCTTAGTTTTTGCCTCTGTAGTTGAGGGTGTTTAGACTAGATCAATGATTCCCAACCCTGGATGCACATTAGAATCACCTGTGAGCTTTAAATTAATTAGTCTGGAGTGGAGCCTGGGTGTGGCCAGTTTAAAGAGCTTCTGATTCTCATATGGAGCCGGGGTAGAGAATCGTTGGACTGAGTGATCTCTGGAGACACTTCTAGTTCTGCTCTGCAGTGGATCTGAGTGCAATAGGGCTTTGCTCTCGGACCAGACCACCTCCTCTGCTCATACACAGACCTAAACTTGCCTGACACTTCTTCTTGTATTTGCTGCCACAGTTCCCATGCACATGTGCAATGCTTCACTCAAGAACCATAATGCTGGATGGAAGCTACAGTGAGTCTGAGGCCAACAGCCTGGCCGGGTACCTGAGAAGCCATCTTCTGACAGAAGAAGAAAGGCAAGACAAAATAGTGGTCCACCTGTCCCTGAGCAATGAATCTGACTCCAGGAAGAAGGGGCTTCTGAAGGGCCAGATGGGTCTTCGCATCATCCAGAACACTCACGCCACCGACAAGTATTCCAGGTTGATATTCCCTGCCTCCTTCATATTTTTCAACTTAATTTATTGGTCAGTGTTTTCCTAGGGGCTCCAAGGCTGTGCCTGGGAATGGGTGTGGAAAACGACGAGGCATGACCAGTCATGGACCTGCTGAACGTGCTCCCCTCACTAGATGGAGCTGCAGCTCCTGGATCCTGTGAGCAGGGTCTCTCGCTCAAAGGAGCCCGGAACCTCCAGCTGCCCTTCCCCTGGACCTCATGGGCTCCTCCTCATTCATGCTGTGTTCTGTGTTGCACCTCACGCCTCCTTGGGCCCGTTTTCTTCAGTTCTTGTGTGTGAACTGGTTCACGAGAGATTCCCTCCTATTTTAAAAAAAAAACAACCTCAAACGCCTCCGAGATGTTCTGAGACCCTTATGGAGCCTAGGATTCACTTGTGGAGGGGAAGGGGAAAAATAAAGGGGAAACTTAGGGGCATTCTGGCTAGGAGATAGGAAATTAGAATTCAAAACAGGAATAGAAAAATCTGTGAACTGACGCAACTGGATTAAGTGCCTACCTAGGAAGGGAAAAAGCTCAGATATCAGGTAAGAAATGATTTGGCCTGTGTGAGACTGGCAACCCACACAATTCTGCAATATTAGGGGACATCATTCATTCATCCATCCACTCAACCCTTTAGTAAGTATTGAGTACCCACCCAGCTCCAGGTACTGTGGAATAGAACAAATAGAAGTCTTTTTTCTCAGAGAACTTCTCTAAGCTTGTGCTCACTCCACACGTGGTATAAAGTACTTCTGCACTTCTCCCTCCCTCAACCCCCACTTGCCCTGCAGACCCATTCTGTTTGCTGGTGCTTTTACTCCTAGGCCTGCCTAGAAAATCATTTCCAGTCTCTTGTGAGGCCGTTATGGAGCCAGCTCAGTGTTCCTCTCCTGGAGTCTCCATGCAGGACAAGCCCAGGGCTGAGGAGAAGGGCGGGAACTTGAAAATTAATGATAGCAGCACTTGGTTCTGAGTAGGAAGGGGGCATGAGTCTGCTGTAGAAATTTATTCAGATGCCACCCTACCTCCCTTTCTGTACTCTTCTCCTTCTTCCCCAGAAGACCGGTGTCCTCAATAATGCCTGTGTCCAAGCCCCATTGCCACCCCCAGGCACTCCACCTACTCTGATCAGAAGTGTCCCACACTTTAGAATGATCTCTCCCTTATTCCCACAAGCAAATGACCCTTTCCTCTAATGCAGCTAAGTTCAGAGTTAGGAAAGCAATCTGATTTGTTCAATCTACCCTAAGTTGTGAAGGACCATTTCCTTTAACTCTGTCCTAGACGTTCGCTAGTTAACTTAAGTGAATCTCTAATTAGTGGAATTTCAGGTGGTATAAAGGAAATGCTTTTGAGAAGGAGGTCCTTTCTTTAAATCACAGCACTTGGAATCAGAAGGCTGCTCCTGGCAGGAGGGAGAGAATGCCCACATAAGAATCCTTACTTTCGAAAGGAAGTTGTTCTACTCTACTTCCCCCTGGCCTCTACCACCTTCCTACCCAGAATCTGAGTGTCTGGTCTAAACTTTGGTCAAGAGTAGACAAGTGATGCAGCAACCCCAAAACTGTTACCGTCGAGTTAATTCAGACTCCTAATAACCGTACAGGACAGAGTAGAACTGCCCCATAGGGTTTCCAAGGCTGTAAATCTTTACAGAAGCAGACTGCCACATCTTTCTCCTTCAAAGCAGCTGGTGGGTTCGAACCGCCAGCCTTTTAGGTTAGCAGACAAATGCTTAACCACTGTGGCACCAGGGCTCCATGATGCAGCAACAAAGAGGGCATAACCCTGCCCTAAATCAAGTAAGCTCTGACCTGTGGAGTCGGCTCCACAGCTCATGACTCCCAGGGGCAGAGACTCTTAGGTCCTGAAGACTGGGGTACACATGGATATCAGAGCCTTGAGAAGTTTCAAGTCTGGAGCACGTAGTTACCTGATTCTCCCACTCACCCTCTTACTATGACTGACACACAGTTGCTCTATGCACCCCAGCTTCTCTGTTCCTTCTTCTGGGTCAGTCCTCCACCAATTTCCTCTGTTCTCATGTGCCTGCATTGTGTCTCTCCGGGTGATCCCAGATTCTTGCTTCACCAGTCCATTACCCAAGTTGAGGACTAGACTCATCATCTCTGGCCACTAGGCCTGTTCTGAATGTGATTCCCAGGACACCAGTCCAGAGGCTGTGTGACCAGGGCTGGGATTCAAGGACCTGAACTCTCAGCTGGGCTGGCTCAAGCAGTGTTATGACATAAATTACCTTGGGTGATCCTTGTCAAGTCCTTATTATTAATGCTAATTGCTGTGCTGCTATTATAATTCATGCAACAAACATTTTAAAGTATCCCTGTGGCACAGTGTTTAAGTGATATGACTGCTAACCAAAATGTTGGCAGTTTGAATCCACCAGCCACTCTTTGGAAACCCTATGGGGTAGTTCTACTCTATCCTATAGGGTCACTATGGGTTGGAATCAACTTAACAGCAATGGGTTTGGTTTTTTTTTGGTGGGGGAAACTGTACTAAGTATAGCGGGGGTACAAATTAAGTATAAGAGATAATCACAGCTCTCAACCAGTAACCAGTTCCCGTCAAGGCAATTCCAACTCATCAAAACACCATGTGTTTCAGAGTGGAACTGTGTTCCACAGGGTTTTTAGTGGTTGTGGTCTTTCAGAAGTATGTTGCCAGGCCTCTATTCTGAGGTGCCTCTGGGTGAACTTGAACCACCAACCTTTCAGTTAGTAACTGAGTGCTTAAGCATTTGTACCACCCAGGAACTCCACAGCTTCTCAGAGAGAGAAGTAGCAGAGGACATAACATAAAAATATAAGTTAAAAAGTGGTAAGTGGTAAATTCAACTGGAGTTAATTCTATAGCAAACATATTTAGAATCATAAACAGTGTTTTATTATGTGGGATCCATGATACAATGACACCATTATAGCTAACACTGCCTTATTGCAGTAGAATGGTCTTAATGGTTCAAAGTGTGATGGGACATCTGAGGAAGGACAGAAGGATTCCCACAGACTGGGTCTCATGGAGAAAATGGCCTCTGAGCTGCCCTTTGAAGGTCAGGGATTCAGACAAGACGAAATGGGTTAAAGAATGTGCTAGATATGTGCTGTCTGGTATGGTAGCCACCAGTCACATGTGTCTATTTAACTTTTAATTAAATAAAACGTAAAGCTCATTTCCTCAGTTATGCTAGCTACATTTCAAGTACTCAATAGCCGCAGGTGGTTAGTGGTTAACTGTATTGGACAATGCAGTTATATAGCACGTTTCTACCATCTTGGATAGTTCTATTGGATAGCACTGCTCTAGATGAAGAGATCAGCTTGAGCAAAGGCATGGAGAGAGGCAGCAAAGTTTGAGACTAGAGGGTGTAGGAGCTGTGAGCCAACTCATTTGTTCTGGCTGGAGCTCAGGCTGTGGGAGGAGAAGGCGGGAGACAGGTTCTTTCCACAACACCAGGGGTTATGGCCAGTGCACACAGGATTATCCGGCAGGTCCCCACCATGCCAGTGCTAAGGAAGACAGCTTCCCCTCCATGGAGTTGCCTGATCCAAGACCACTGGTTTTCCCAGCCTCATGGGGAAATAAAAAATGAAAGTGCATAAACAAGGATAATTAGATGGTACAGGGCATCTGACATGTTTAGAAATCTTTAATCTCTAGAGACTGCCTTAGGCCACAATGCTATTCAATGAATGATAATTATATTGTCATTGCTTTGGTTAGAAGTCTTATTTTATTCCAACATTACTTCTGACTACATTGTCTTCCTAAATTGTGTCTCATAGAACATAGTGGCCTGTTCACAACTTAAAAAAAAAGATATATTTTTGCTAGTTTATAAATTGAACTGGAGCTAATTCTATCGCAAACATATTTAGAATCATAAACAGTGTTTTATCATGCGGAAACCATGCTATAATGACGCCTTGTAGTTAGCACTGCCTTACTGCAGCATAATGGCCTGATTCTACTTTGCAAAGTAGAAAATTAAGGCAGGTAAAGATGAGACAACAGAAGGAGTGGAAAACAGGAACTAAGGTAATGTTGAGAATACAGAATGATTCACTCTAGAGACAGGATGACAGAGGAGCAAACATAATGCTTGAATGATACGTACTTCACTGAATCTAAGACACCTTCAATTGTAAGACGCGCCCCTATTTACTCCATGGCAACGGGTTTAAGAAAGAAAAAAATGCTGCTAATTAAATTGTGGCATGCCAGTGAATGTAAGATGACTTCTCATTTCACCAATACTAACTTGTGAAAAAATATGCATATTAGAATAAAAGAAATAGGTATTATACAGAAATTGGTGATGGGACATATTTATTGACATCAAGGAAGCAACATTTACTAAGCACTTGTTTTCAAGGCCCTGTGCTGGAGTGGGGGTGGGGTGGCTGCCGATATGGAAATGAGTGAGAAACACCTTTCAGTCGTCAAGAAGCTTACACTGTAGTGGGAGTGGTTCAGAGCAGGGAGAGATCACAGAATTTGAGGAGTACGTGCTGTTTGTGCTGAGTTCTGAGAAATGGATAGATACAATTTCAGCTAGTAAAAACGAGGGGAGGGGATCATAACATGGCAGAAGAAAAGCTCGGAGTATGTTCAGGAGACAGTGAATAAACACTCTACAGAATGGATGAGAGGGATAAGGTTGGGAAAGTATGTTGGGACAAGAAGGGCTTTGAGCAGGGAAGCAATAATCTTTTGGAAAATTGATTTATTTGCCAACAGAATATAAGCTGATGTACTTTCAAAACACTTTTAGTTGCTAGTGACAGAAATCCAAATAAAAAGGGGGTTTGTTGGAAAGATACTATAGGGACTCATAAAATGAAAGGGGAATTTAGGAAGCAGAGGAGCTTGGGGACTTAAGGGTTTGGAATTGAGATTCAGTACCTCCAGGATCATCTCTTCAGCCGTCATTCTGCCTGTCTTCATTCTTACCTACTGCAGGCAGATTTTTCCACCTGCTGGTGAGGGCGCTCATGGCAGCCCCAGGTCCATATTCTTCTAGTTCCATGATCCTGGTGTCATGGGTTCTTCTAGATTCATTCCATTTAGAATAAAACTAGGGGAGAAATTTGACTGGATTGATCTGGGCCATGTGTATTGAAGGTGATCAGAGCTCTGTGCTGTGCTTACGTTTAGAACG